ACGCATCGCATGGGCCTATTCGGCCACATGCACGTCCACGAGCACCTGCGGTGGACAACCGCCGGCTGCACTACGCCACCAGTCCCTCCTTCCCCGAATCACCACCTCACCACACATCAACACTCTCCCACCGCAGGCATCCAACTGCCACCTCGCATGCGAGTGGGAAGTGTGCATCTCGACTCGCCCCCGTGCGGCCTCTGCATCACAGGCGGCTTGAGTCCGAGACTAATTCGACATGTCAAGCGTCGTGGATAGGCAGGTTGCTGATTGACGCCCCAATCGGCCCACTCAGTCCGTCCAGTTGTGCGTGTGTTTGTGTGGAGTGGCGGACTGATGAGCTGGAAGACGGGCTAAAACAGCACCTTCCACGGTCCTCTCACGCAAGTGAGAGATCCGCCGTTCAACCCCTATTGAGCAAAATCCTGCTGTTTGTTTTTGGGGGACCAGGTCGTGCATGTGGCGCACGCAGACATGGTCAGTCGACCATGCCAGCCATCGCGTCCATTTCCCGCTCCAGTCTGCTGACCGGCTTGGACAGCGGCTGGGGTGTGGGAATGGGAAGGGAGATTGAGGTCGACGACTCAGCGCACTTTCCTCACTATAAACAATCTGACGCGCTCGAAGCTATCACAGCGAGCTAAATGCCGTGGCTTGAAAGGTTGCCAACTGACGGGGTAACTTGGACCTCCTCCGTGACTGGTGGTGGTCTGAGAGTCAGGCTGCAATGGCTCCTTCTTAATGTGGCCGTATGGCACTCTCACCACAGTGTAGGAGATGAGTCAGGCGTTGCCGGCACGCCTATGTGCGGCTTCGGCCGTGCCAGCCTCCAAACTCTGTTGTGTGGATCAACATCCTGGTTATTTGTTGTGTGGATCAGGGAGTGTGGTGGAACGCCAAGGTGAGGATCCGTCCGAGCCATCCACCTGCGGCCTCCCCCGTCTCCGGTCTTCTTGACGGGCTCAGGCGGGGGAGGAGGTGACAGTGTAGTTAGATGCTACGCAAGTCTACTAGCACTATAAACCCCTGCGTAAGTCACCGTCCCTGTTCCCACCGCTGCTGCAGCTGTGGGGCACACGATGGACACCGTCAAAATCGACGGTCGAACTGTCGTGTGTGTGTGTGTGTGTTTGCACCTGAGCCTTGTGCGGCTGCGGCCAATCAGGGAAGGTATAAAACATGATCGGCGTCAGTGTCGGGCAACCGAATTTCGAGTCATACGGCGCGCAAGCGCTAATTGACAAGCCTGACAGGCGGACGGAAGACGGTTTGAGTAAGAGGGGACAGTCGCCGTCCAAGCTTTCAGATGCATCGTCAGGTGAACGTGATGGACTGCAGCCTAATGCTTCGGGCAGTGCTCGCATTGATTTTGGAGAAAAGAACCAATAACAATGCCGGTATTAGCACGTCAATCTGGATGTGCACCTATTAGTTGGTAGGACGGAAGCGAGAGAAGCTGACAGGACGAACACCCGCACTTAGGTGTATTACCACATCACCTGATTCAGAACGTAAAGACACCAGGATTATATGCAGCAAGAAAAAGGGGAGGGCAGGTTGGATCGTGAATAGCTAGGCGTGATCCCACAGCTGGGCATGCCAGCCCTCCCCATTCTTGATATTTGTTATGATTGTTTATTTCCAATAACATCTGACAGACATCGATCAGGCCCTTGTGCCGGTTCAGCACATCTACCTGTTGGCGTGGATGCTAGTTCGGCCGTCATCATACTACAGGCAAACTTAGACCGACTCGAACAATGGTCAGGCCACTGGCTTCTCCCATTAAACGTTGCCAAATGTAACATTCTGAGGATTGGTAGACCAAGCTCTGTGCAACGGAGGACGCACTATCTAAAGCACACACCGCTGTCAGTGGTAGAGGTTCAGAAGGATCGAGGTGTTTGGATAACATCTTCACTAAAGCCATCATTCCACTGCTTGAAAGCAGCGAAATCCGCAATGTCCAGTCTATATCTCATCAAGCGGGCATTTGCGAAGATCGAAGTAAAGTGCTCTCGCAAGGTCTTTGGGATGATTGTGCGTCCACAGTTAGAATTTGCCATTCAAGCCGGGAGACTCTGGACTGTCAAGGATCGTACCACCCTCGAAAAAGTCTAACGACGGACGACCATGCTTGTCAGAGGTCATAAAAACCTGTCTTACTAATCTAGACTGTCAAATCTTAACTTCTTTCCACTGGACTACAGACAACCAACGTGGCGACTTACTTCAAACGTTTCGAATGCTTCGGGGTCAGGATTGCTGCCTCGCATCCGACGACTTCTTTGAGCTGGCCACCACTACTAGCTTGAGAGGACATCCTCTGAAACTACGTGTGGCATGGGCCAGACTGGACGCAAGGACGTCCTTCTTCAGCCACAGAGTGGTAAAGGCATGGAATTCCCTGCCTGTGGACGTCGTCATGTCCTCATCCGTGAAACCATTTAAGAGGAAGCCTGACCAGTACAGTGATATGTACCTCCAAAGCATCAGAAACTAACAAATTTCCCCCCTGTACTACCCGCCCCGCCCAACGGTTAATGTTACAAAGCATGCTACTCCCTATATTTTAAAAACATTACGTTTTACAATTTTTGCTATCTCCTGACCGCAGCATATGCGCTAGCTTCGATATTTCTTGGTCCATTCAGTGCCGCGTACTGGTTATTGTACAATTTTGACATAGAAGGCATTCGCGGACAAATTTATACCAGTAATCAATGCATGCTTTATGTAATAACTTACCTACTTTTCTTTGTCACTTGTTTTTTTATGACCTTACGGTAACCAAAAGGGACTTCAAAGGCCTACATTCCCTTAATAAATCTGATGTGATCTGATGCCCTGAAGTGGAAGCCCCGTTTTCTGCAAATGATTGGTAGCTGGAAGATGTCCGAGTTGAAATGACTAACCCGAGTATCAGTCGACTGCTACCGAATGGCGTGCAGCGTTAAAACCGACCTGTCAGTTCGACGACTGCCAACGGCGATGCCCACCGTGTGTCCCAGGGCGTGGAGGCCGCAGGACAGTGACTTGCGCAGCACCCGTCACGCTAACTCCTCCTTCGCCCACCCCTTGGAGATGCACGGTCAGGACTACCCGAGGTTGATTCGGACGCAATGCTCGGGAATCGGTGGGCTTTTAAAATTTAAGCCGCACTTAATTATGCTCCCCATTCAGGTGGGAGGTTTCGTATCTGCACATCTAACTCGTAATATACTCATATTTTCCGTAGGTTTATTTACCTGAATTACAATCAGGAAGTCATCTGTGTAGGGGGTTGGCAACATTTTGAAAGGACTAGAAGCTTGCGCAAATTCTTCACCGATTCACAGACGACTGTCCGCGATGCTAACAGTTGCACTTTGTGGCTAATACGCTGTATTTACCATCCTTCCCTGCTCCCACTTTTACGTTTCCATCAAGAAATGTCAAAATATTTAAGAAAAACGCTGGATATTTTCCCGAAACAACGCTGGTGCGAAGCTACAAGCTCCTGTTTTCATACATGGATGAGTCGACAAATTTTATTGCAGTTACATGCCAGCTCCGTTTGTTAAATAATCTTTAAATACAGCATATTTGTTAACATTTATACTCACTCTCTATCCTCGAATGTGACGCAACTTTCTTTCGAAAAAACACTGTATTATTGTATTGTGAGCATCGTCCTCTCTTATGTGGCGATTTGGCTGTGTCGCCTTGCGCCCTCCTCAAACCTTTGTTCCCTCCGTATCCGACTAGAAAATCCTCTCAGTCACATTTATGTTACCCGATTTATTTTTTTCATGCTAAAAATGGACCACTGCTCTCTTAATAACATCAGTCTGTTCTATAAGGCCTTCAAAAAATTTACTCCACTTCTAAGTTGGCGTTGAAAACCGGATCTGACAGGGAAAAATTGTTGACAACACCTACCCAAAGAGTACTTATCTGCTTCGGATTCCTGCAATTAATACTATTCTCACCTTTCTTAGAACACAGAGTGCTGAATCAAGTGCCAGCTGCCTTGGAATGCGCTTAAATGAGATTCATAGTATGCTTTGTCCTATTAAATCTGTTGTGGTTAGGCCTAAGATAATTTCTTCACCAAACCTCAAGTATTAAAGCCATCAAAACTAACTTCCCCGCAAGCCTAGCCTACGTGACAGTCTAAAAAACGTTAAGGTCCTACTAAAAAGAAAGATTGCCAGACTGAACGACCTGTCTGTTATTTAGCCTTTTTTTACTTTTTGACCCCTTTTTTTCCTCTTTCCTCTTCTGATATCACTGGAAAACAAAGCATGCTAACTCATTTTGACTCCAAATAAGACGAAAATGTAAACAAAGTTTTAATTCTTACTCCCAATAAATCCAACCTTCCTTAAAAACGATGTTTCGCCATCACCGTGTGTCTTCTCACTAATGTCTGTGACACCAGTGTAGAAACATCTTCAAGAGGTCCGTGAATGAACAGATGCCGGGTCGAATATTCCCCCAAAAAATCACCTCAAATACTGTTCTTCTCAGTCAGCACATCTTCTTAACATAGTCCTCGTGAAATGAAGGATGACTGATGCTTGGCAAGCCGTAAGACCCGCTGCAGTCCCCAAGTCTACTGAATTTGGTCCTCCGACCAATTACAGCCTCCTCCGCATTCCAATGTTATTTCAACTTTTCATCAGTTTGAGTTAGCGTCGTGCATTGACACATCAACGTCCCGTTTTACCACCTATGGCGCAATACCTAACATACTGACAGACCGTAGTGCAGAAGCTGAGACTAGGACTGGCCGCATTATAGTTGTACGGTTTTTATGCAAACACATTTATCCTCTCGTCATTTGTTAATTTATATTCTGGCAGCGGGAATGGAGAAAATTTTGCTAAACATTTGGAATAATTATTTAGAAATAGAGCATATTCCTCTTTTCCTATCTGATTTTCTGAAATCTTAACAGTCCGTCTACTTTAAAGGAAGGCGAAGACACGATCACTGGGACGGTATATTTATCGGCCTTAGCTTTCGGGCTCGAACTGATGTTCATCATCATCATCATCATCATCATCATCATCATCATCATCATCATCATCATCATCATCATCATCATCATCATCATCATCATCATCATCATCATCATCGTCATCGTCATCATCATCATCATCACCACCACCACCACCACCACCACCATCATCATCATCATCATCACCACCACCACCACCACCACCACTACCATAACCATCATCATCATCATCATAATCATCGTCGTCTTCGCCGACGTCACCATCATCGTCGCCGTCATCATCATCATCGTCATCATCACCATCACCACCACCACCATCATCATCATCATCATCATCATTCAAAAGCTAAACAGTCCTATTACCCGTGCCACACACGTTCCGATTTTTGCTGATCAAGTGGAGTGATATTGACGTCCCCTGAGTGGGATTGAATTATAGGCCACACTATAGGAACCCATTAAGAATTGCTCCCGGTCTTTCAATAAGTGACCCCGCACAAACTCATAGCACTGGCCACGACGACCGAGATTTCTTCTCACTTGGCAGCCCTTCACGTCACAACACCTAGCGCATCTTCACGGTTGCAAAGCGCGTCAGATTTATTGGGATAAGAAATGCACTGAATTGCCGCGGAGATGGAGTGCGCACATAGTCGGGTCTACTATTTCTTTAATACGCCAGTCGGTTGCTCGAACATGACTAAAAATGCGATCATCCCTTGCTACTAACATCGACTAGACAGCTCTTCTCATTCTATTGCTTTTGTGGGTCGCCAATTTGGGTTATAAGGCTAGATGGTGTGGAGAAGTGTCGGAGTAGGAGATAAACCGTGCAGGTATGATGGGTCATATTCTGCAATTTGTGACTTCTCTATACGGCCCTCAATGGATACCAGACCCACTTTTGTGGCCCCCGAAGTTAGGCTCTGCTTAGCGGCGCCATCCCGGTTAACGCCTTGATTGGCGGACCAAACTAAATGAGGGTATTTTGCATTGTGTTTGTTCCTACATCCGGCAGCTATGCTCACATTCCCGCCCGCTTACTTTCACAATGTCAAAAAGCATAAGGTTATGGGTTGTGTCCGGGGCAGGTAAAATAGTATACAAGACTGGCTACTGCAATTAGTTCAGTAGGTGTTGTTACCGTGTGCCACTTAGACCTGGTCTACATCTTTCACCGGCCTTTGCTATTAACCTTGCAAACAATCGCACCGAGAGCCGGGCCCTGCATGAATGCCTATATAGGCTCGTTATTGTGCTCCTCACCCGGACGTGTTAGGTTTCATGCGAAAGCTTTGTCCGCAGTCAACGGCATATCAAAGTTAGAGTATGTTGAGATTGGCAGAGGGGCGTTCACCGATTATTGCTACGGAATTCACTCGTTCCGTTATGCCTTACGGGCTCTCTTACAAGTCAAACCAGCAACCGCGTACGGGCGCAGAATGACATTACCTACAAAGACAAGGGAGAATGGACTAGCCATTTCTGGCTTATTAGCCGTCGTCAACCAATCACACATAACCCTGAAGTGTGGAACACCCGGGACTCGATCCCGCAACCTGTTGGTTGCAAGTTCAACGACCCTAAACCACTGAGCTGAGACAACTGGCTGTTGTGAACCATTTCTATTTGGCTTATCAGTTTTTTGGCAGCTTCGTGGAATACACCTCTGCCATGTGTATCTCGTCGATGTGGGTCCAGACAGCTCTGTCTGACGGAGAAACGCCTTTATGTAATCTTCTTTTGAGGCGACTCTAATACTTTTCACATGCGTAGGTATGTCAGCCTGTCGTCGCGTCCACACAATTCCTGCTCTGGTTTACGCTGAAATAGGCAGTGCTCAGTTTTAGGTTGTTGCCTTCAAGCATTGAAACTGTTCGCAGTGCCTCGGTAATTCAGCGACGGCTACATATGAAATGTAAAACTTCAGTGTGTTTCCTGAGGCTTTGCCATCGCATTTTCTAGCAGCATTAACATTTTCAACTTTTGGGCAGTAGTCCTCTGTCTTGGCAATATTGCAGCAGCTTATCGGAGTTCAGCATTTCCATCATCTCGTCAACTTCCGTTGGTATGTCCCACTGAGGTCGTCTGCGTCTTACAGTTTGTTCAGGGTGCGATCTGCGTTTAGAAAACTAAATTAATTTATTGTGTACAGACCCTTGCTACAATTGAAACTACCATCTACTCGTAGATATTGATTTTTAGATCTATATCGACAAACTGACTTCATGTGTTTCAAAATTCAGGTTGAGAATTTGTTTTACGTGCTGAAATCTTCGCTATACACCACAACTTATTTTAATTACATACACCTATATATCTATTTGTATGCAATGTCTCTTTGCATTACTAAACTTGCCTTTTCTATTTACTCCTTCTGTTTTTTATCTTACCTTGCTATACTTCCTACTTGCTCCCCGTCTTTCATTTTTTGCGGATCCCTGATAGATATTGCGTCTCCCGCTATAGCCCTGAATCTGAATTATTTGCACTTTCGATTAACTCCTGTGATCAATTACCATTGTCTGCAACTTTTCTTGGAATCCGAGCTTCCGTTACCCAGTTAACCGCGGTTTATTCGCATACCTGAATTTCGTTGACTACCGCTTTCGGTAGTTATTGAAATTTTTGGACTCCGTTACTGCTCGCATTCCAAGCGCACTACTAAGTTTTCCATGCAATTCTACTTTTTTTCGATTTCGGGACATGTCATTGGTTTTCTTTAGAAGCAAAGAGACGAGTTCCAAGAAAGAGTCGTGAAAAGAAAGATGATACGATCGTTGGGACAAGAACTTTGTTCGCCCGACGTTTCGGATTCCTATCCAAACCCATCATCAGAGACAATAGTAGATACCGGTGCTTCACGCAAAAGGGGCGACAGTATTTATAGGATGCAGTCGCCATACCACCGCATACCTATGAATATTCACGGCTCCCCCTTCATCAGGGATCGTTGCACGTGGTGTTATGACTGCTTGGTGGCCGACATTCGCGCCGTGACATGCGGCAATTTCATCGCGTGCGTTTGATGCTGGTGTGGTGATTTCTGTACCATCTGAACCAACGACCTTGACGTAGGGAACAGTATTGACACGTGCGCTCCCGGCGTGGCTAATTTCTCCGCCTAGGCGAAGTCTCAACACCGAATGTAGAAGGGGCATATCATTGCTTTTGTTAATAAACTGGGATATTATGAACCATTTCTCAATCCTTAATAATGAAAGGCCAAGCAAAACGGACCCCAAAATTGGCTAGCGCCTCCGTATGCGAAGAACGTTTAGGAAGCTGTTAGCCGCCCTCCCTCGCCAGAAGGGGTTGAAGTTGTACACAGACCAGAGGCAACCATCAGACTTCAGATTATGAGACCAAAAGACACTCTGCCACGACAAGAAACGTCTGGAGTCGGATCTGGCGCAGTTGCGGACAAAGCAAATACGTCAAAAGGACCGGAAGAATGCTCCGAACGCGGCGGCTCCACTGAAAACGACCTCCTCCTTCTGCGAACCTACGCGGAACACTGTCTCCTCTAACCCAGCACATTCTTCTTTTATTCAACGAAGGAGGCTGCAACCTCGATGCTCCATCAACACTGCCACGTTGGCAGCAGCTGGGTTGCGTTCTCCTCTCGAGGGGCTAGATCAGCAGGAAATGTTGGTGACCGAAACGATCTGTGACGTCAACGGCTGGAGGTATCATTGCCCCACCATCTCAGAAAAGGTATCTGGATGTAACCTCGCAAAAAACCACTGCATAGACATGGTGGTATCAGGCGCGGAACATTGCACATTCCACCGCATTGGTTGTCGTCCGTCGCACAGCTCGTCAGATTCAGGAATGGTTTGACGACAACGACACAAATTTTAACAATCTACTCGCCAAGACGGACAGACTGTCGTACCCAAGCAAGAGATGACCTTCTTCAGATGTCACCGTCTTGTGCAGCAGCGGATGTGTGAGAGGCATGGTGCCATAATGGATAAGTAGGTCGAGGAACGCCAAAGGTACGTTGACAGCAATCAAACAGAGATCGTCTTCGCATCAATCAAGACGGTCTGCGAATCCACATCCAAAAGACCCGCGCCGCTTCTCAGCTCCGATGGAAAAACGCTCCCGACGGAGAAGTTGCAAGTTCTGAGGTGTTAGCCCAAGCACATCAGAAGTGTTCTCAACCGCCCATCCAGGATCTCTGTGGCCGTCATCAACCGGCAACCCCAAGTGGAAACAGTCGACACCCTAGACAACTCTACTTTACTAACCAGAAACCATCTTAATCGGAAAAGCTCCGGGATCCTATACAATCTCAGCTGTAGTGACATATACACCTTCTTCTGGAGTGCTCTCTCAAGGCGAAGTGACGCTCGCGTCAGGCACAGAGAATTACGATGTTCTCCGGAAAATCATGCAGAAATTTGACTGTCCGGAACGATTCCCGTACATGATGCCTCGGATCGTTGAGAGGATGATGGCGCGCTTCACGGGTAATTCGGACGTTACAGGAGCACTCGCAATGATCAATGGAATGAAACAGGACTGAGTCCCCCTTCCCATCCTCTTCAGTCTCATCTGATCTGTCATGGCTATAGGCGCCTATTATGATGGGAGTCCTGGGGTCCGTATCATCCACAGGACCGGCGACCAGCCTCTCACTCTCTCCACGACTACTGCCCACGATCTGTTCTTCACCGGCGATTTCACGTTCAACACCGCGACAGAGACGGATATGCAATAGTCCACGAATGTCTTCAAATCAGGCTGCTCAAAATTCGGGATGAACAGTTTCCATGCACCAGCGGCCTTCGCATCAGTATTGTGCAACATCAAACTCGACCACGAAGTGGCTTACAGGGGAAGAACAAAGAAGCCTGAAGGAGCAATCTACGAAGCCAACCGAATCAGCGCTGCCAAGGACATAAGAACTAACAACAAGTCTCAAGCGCACCCAACATAACCCTCCCAACACCAGCCTGCTCACGATGTGGACGAACCTACGGGCGTACGGATCCGCATTGTCGGATATCTCCGGACCCAATGGAACAAGAAAACGACAACTTCATTTCCTGCTTTCAAAAACGCTTCCATCGTTATTCCTCCACCAATCCTCACTGCACTGACCATCACGGGCACCACCACGGGCACCACGGGCACAACCATCATCACGGGCACCACCACCAACACCACCAACACCACCACCACCACCACCACCACCACCACCACCAACACCACCACCACCACCACCACACACACGGTCGCCACAGGTTACCACACCCTGATGCCACGACCGGCTCAGCCGATTTCGTTCATGTAATGAAGCATATGCAAGTCCGAAAGAAGCGTAATTAACTCGGACGAAGGCCAAGATAGCATACGAAAGTTCAGACAATTCGCAATAAATTATCATACGATAGGGCAAATTACCAGTAAAATCCCTGGCATGCATGTGACGGGTGAGTGACAAATGAAGAAATTACAGTGGCTGTCGTGAATACTAATTTTCCTCTCACCAAACAGATGTGCTGCGGAGAGATTGGAGGGGCAAGGCGATATAGCCGGTGACATTTTCTTGATGTCTCAAGGAGTACACGATCCCAGCTGGCAACTCGAACTGAAGACCAATCCTATGCATCACCAGACCCAACCAGGCATCGTCAATGGGAATGCGTTTGGTGTAGATCATGGCCAAAGTCAGATCCGCCACGTGATCGTAACCAAGCATGTAGAAGTATCCGTTGCTGTAGGGCACATGCACTGGCTACGGAACCTCCCGCTTCGACAGTGCCCATTTTCGGACGGCCGGAGTGTCCGTGGGACGCACTGTGGGACTATTCCAGCGAGTACTCGAAATGGAAACTCTGCGCCGCCAATCAACCGGCAGAGTGGCCAGAACGGCCTGGAGGCGCTTCTCATTGAAACCAATGTCATCGTCGAGGAACATGAAGGCAGGACGTTCGCGACAGAACCTGGCCGCCCACACGAATGTGTGATGCATCTTCAGAGACAGATTTTAGTAGGTGTCCTCGAAGTCGCCCACGATGAGATCATCGTGTTCACGCATCTCCTGTTCCAGTCGCATTTGAATCTGGGTGCGGCGGTTTGCAATGTTGACGGGGGAGTTGCCGGCGCGACCGGGCAATGAGATGTTGAAACCATCGCGTCGGAATGAATTGCTGATTGCGCTTGTTGGCAGGCCCACCACGAACACTACTCCTATGCGATAGGGTGGATTAACGCTGTTCTCCTTTCTCAGGTGGGCGTAGAATCTGCGAAAGGCTTGTCTGTCATCAAAGTTGTAGACAGCTGATTTCACAATGACGACGAGGTCGATGTTGTGTTTGCGGTCAGCGACGTCATCTAGCTCTGGTGGACAAACCGAAGTGCTCACTTTGAGAAACCGCATGCTGGGGCTGTTGACTGGAGGCTGCAAACGTACACGAGGGTTTTGGTTGCATTAATAACAAGTTTGCCGCGGAGACAACACAAAGTTTACTTCGAATAAGTTCTGTGTCATCGCGTTAGTTTAAACAAAATGAAGCACATTGAGGAGACTGGAAGTGTTCTTTGTAAGATGTCTGGTCCCGGTGTCGTCGAAATCACAAGAAAAATCCTTAAGTGCACAGAATTCTATCAGTTATCAAAGGGTTTCGTCATGTTAATTGCATTTCCAAAGTTCAGAGTCTAAATCAACCAACTTTCCTGAAACGTATGCACATATTTTGCATGGATCCTAATACTTAAGTAGTTACCTGAATTCTGAATTCAGTAATTAGCGGCTGAACATCTTCTGACCCAGCATTTGCCATAAGATTTTCTCTAAGCGCTTGTCAACTGCTGACTAAGGTGTGCGCACTGAATTTGGGGAAGTGAATACTTCTACTGTTTTGCGCTGTCAACAGCAAATGGGATTTGATCGGGCATACAAATCAACGAAATTCATCAATAACTGTCTGCACTGCGATAGCGCATAAGATGGGAGGAGTTAGACCTTGACAAGCAAAATACAATCTTCTCCGACTGGCTGTGACGTCAGGGTTATTTGTGCGACAGAGTGCTGTGCATAGCGCATCTCGCTGATTGGACCAAAGTGGAAGGAAGCGTGAGAAGTGCTCACGTGCAGACGATCGATATGCGCTCTGCATCGAAGGCTAAGCGAGAGAAAGAGGCTATCCCTACCAGACAAATGCGATGAAGGCTGGTGTCTATAGAGAAGTTGGGGGATCAATACGAGGGCAGAGCGTCTGATTGTGCTAGAGATCAAACAAGGTCACAGACCCAAACCAAAGAGTGAAGGGCATCCATGTTGACTACTCTGCGTGTCAGGGAACAGACAATGATGGGTTACGCTGTTCTGGTTCCAAGTGTAAGCACAATGTGTTCATTGAAAGTAAAGTAAGGCGAAGAGGGATGCTGAAATCGTGGGTGGAAAAGTAGCCAAAGCTAAAGCGGAATAAAGCAATCTGATGTTTCGGTTTAAAGTTATGGTTAATTTTAGGGTTTGGGTTTGTGTCAGACTGAGAATTGAATTTAAGGTTAAGTTTTGTGCTGCGTTTAAGAGTTTCAGCTAGAGTTGGGGTTTGGATTGCCGTCTAGGTTGGCGCTAAGGTTGGTGTTAGTGTTAGTTTAAGTCTAAGGTTATGTTAAAGTTTAGGGGAAAGGTAAAGTTTAGGATTTGGTCCAGGATTAATTTTAGGCATAGGATAAGGTCTAGGGTTTGTGATAGGTTTCGGATTAGGCTAAGCGTTAGGTTTATAATTAAATTGAGGATTAGGTTTGCTTTTGAGGCCATGAGTATTGTTGCCCCATGTTTCCTGACTTCTGCGGAAATTTTGGGTTTACTTCAATCTCGCGACAAACTTATCATACATCAGGTTGCCAACTCCGTTTCTGCCTCGGCTACTTTTCCCTCTAAAGGTTTCAGTATCCCTCTTCGGCTTATCTTACTTCCAATGCCCACATTGCGCTTGAACTTAAGATCAAAACAGCGTGCCAGGTAACGAAATGTGATGCAGACCCAATTAGCACTAGGTACTTTAGAGGCAATAAAACAGACATTAGTTTGACAGTGAACCTGCGCTTACCTCTGGACCCAAGCCAGTCTCCCGGTAATTCCGAAGGATTTCACGCAGAGCAAAACCCTGCGGATATAGCAGGAAGACGTCCGGATTAAATGGCCTTTTCCAGTCAGTATCGTTTACTTGGGCCATATCTGCAAAGGTAATATTCCGACCTCCACCAGTCTTGCTGATGAGCGTGAGTGTGTCGTATCTGGTTAGTGGGAGGTGCGAATCTACACAATAACGAAAACTCAAGTCGTAGGTGCCGTCCTGTGTCATTTCACTGATACTACTGCAGCGAAGATTGTATATTACTAATGAAACTCGAATTTTCACTGTTTCAACAGCGTTTGCTACCCATTCGCTTGTGAAGAAAACATCGCAGAGTATCCTCGTTATTCCTAATAATGCTAAAATGAGGATCCACGTACGATGAGAGCGCACGCATCCAGTCATCATGGTATAGCCTCTTCTTAGCTCAACAATTGGAACGCACATGTTCAACGCGATGATTTATACAGGGGCTTTTTGAGTTCTGTGTGATACAAAACATGCTGAAGGATGCCTACCGCCGGTAACAAACTAGCCAATCAGAATTGGAACAAGTTCTGTTTATGTAACAAGTCGAAGTGCAAACAGAAGTTCCCGGCAAGCATTCCCACTGGCTGCCGACTCAAGTTGCCTTCGATGATCTGTCATTGAATCAAAATTTAGCTGCTGAGATGTACATGAGAAATCAAGCCAGCTCGCTAGCTCCACCAAACGTCCGAAATGGGCATCAGGATGAGGGCTGCATTCAATACTCCGTAGGGGGTTTTCTCCATTCAAAGTAAAATGCGTTTTAAAGTGTGCAAGTAATATGAAGGAATCCCCGATGGCCGTCGGATTGGCTGCTTGTGTAACGAACTTCAGCACTTCAGCTCTCACCAGGTTTATGACAGCGTACTTAGGGCAGTCGATAAGAAAAGATAGATCACCCAGAGTAGTAGTCTGATAGTAAACTCGATAATCTTTTGACATTTAAGAATTTTCCGGAGAGGAGTAGCGAGTGAGATAGATACTATGCAAGTCCGCTTTCACCACAGGCTAAATCATGCATAAGACGTCTTCCTTCAAAATCGGTATTATTTAAATGTCCAGACGCATACCGTGTCTATTTTCAGTGGCCGAATTAAGTGATTTGGACCATTAAGCTTTTCGTGTATACTCTCCAACTCCCACCTACCCACGTTTTCGCTTCGGGTGGAGAGCCGTCATCACACATCTTCCACCGATTGCGAGGAGGTGAGGAAGGAGGCAGGTAGCTGCCGCGGCCGAACATGTGCCTCGGTGTGCCACTCCTTACTCGTAGAGACAACACAGAGAATCTGTCGCATCACAGAAACACACGCCCGTGACCTGGCTGGTGGGGAGGAAGAATTACCGTGTGTGGAGATAAACACACGGATAACTTCACCTGGTTTAGCCCGACGGCAAAAGCGGGTGCAAGGATGTGGCTGCTAGCTTTGGGGAGCCACACGTGAGAGTTGGATGCCTGTCACTGGACACTAAGCGTAGTCAGCACCTGCGAGACAGCGAGTGACCTACTGCGACCATCACATGACCCCACAGCTGGACACACCTGCACCCCGACCGACGATGTCTATCATGTGCTCAAGGGTGACCCGTGCCTGATTTCCTTTACAATGACAGTAGACTTGCACTGCATCCATCGCACTCTCTCCTCCTGCTCCGCCTGAACCCGGTGCCAAGACATAGTCAAGAAAACCGACGGTGAGGGAGGGGAGCAGGTGGCTGACTCGGCCGCGCTCGCACCTAGGTGTTCCAGCATACCCCCTGGTTCGCAACGAATAAGTGACCAGGGTATTAACCAACAACAACAGCACCACAACTGGCCGGCCATACTCACGACTTGTATACCCAGCTGCGGCACGAGTGCATCTACCGCCAGGGAAGCACGTGCCGCAGAACCGCCATCGCACATCAGGCCTTGAGGGTCATGGTTTGCTCATCCTGGCAGAGCAGACTGCTACAAACCTTTAGGCTTAGACGCGCAGCCCTCCATCTGCCTGCGCCATCACCCCTCAAATACCGGGTAACCAATCAGCCATCGACTGAGAGGCACTACGCATAAAGCAATCCTGACTTGCGTGAGAGTGTCGCTGATGGAGTTGAGACAGCGGGGCTCTATAGTAGGTGGGTTAACTCATGAAATGTCAACAGACATTCCGAAATTCCTTTCCGTTTCGAAAAGATTAATTAAGTACGATCATAAAACCAATCATTGTACAGCATAATTCTATAATAATTCAGTTACCCCAGGACGCCGGCTTTCGAACAAACTTCATTCCGGCTGCATCTAAAACCATACTCCGTAAAAAATGACTACCCATGTAGCATGCATTTTTCAGTTATTTTTGATGCCCTTACTGATTCAATTATATCTCAGGGAAAGCATACATAAAAATATTCATTTACCTGCTCATTCGGTAGAAAATTAAGCCTTCTTCCAATTTCGCACTATAAGGAAGGCTATAAATCCGTTTTTTAAAAATAGTTTTTAATCGTGTGATTTTTCAATGCCGTGAAATGGTCCTCCATAAAACGTCATGTCTCTGGATTTACCAACGTGGCTTGTAAAGTTAACAATGTGACTCAAAACTACTGCTTAATTGTATGAACCCCATATAGTGTTCTCTTAATAGTGTAGAGAAATCGATGGTTTTCCGTACGCGGAATAAATATAAGGCTTGTAGTTTGGGAACCCTGAATGCAAGTGTAACGGTAGGTGGGGTTCAAAATTATTCCGGAATTGGAAAAGTTCTATAAAACCAAATTATACTGTTCCTTCAAATATAAAATTGGAAGAAGACGTCATTTTCTACCGAATGTGCACAATAATGATTATTCTTATGCATGTTTTCCAAGAAATATAATTTAACGTTTAAGGGCATCAACAATGAATGAGAAAAGTGCGCGCTTCTTAACTAGTCATTTTTCAACAGAGTATAGTTTTTGCATGCAGTCGGAAAGAAGTTCGTTTAAAAGCGGGGATCGTGAGTTATTATAGAATTATGCTGTAGGATGATTAGTGTTACAATCCCGTTTGATTAATCTTTCCGAAACGAAAACGCACTTTGGAATTTCGGTTGACATTTCATGGATTGGCCACCTGCTTTATGTTTGTCCACTTATGGGTCCCCATGGCTGTCGTAGTAGATCGCTCACTAGCTCTCAGATTCTGACTACGCTTAACGTCCATTAACTGGCACCCGACTCTCACATGTGGCTCTCAGAAGATGGGCTCTGTCTAGTGGCCACACCCCGGTAACCGCCTCGACCGTCGGGTTAAACCAGTTAAGGGTATCCGTGTGTGCATCTCCACACACGGTAATTCTGCTTCTCCCTCCCGCCACCGCTGACGCCGCCATCGCCCAGATGAGGTTCCGTACGCAACCGCGCAGAAGGACACAAGGTTAGGCTTGGTTGTCTATGGCCGCTCACCCTCGCATTTCAACATTCAGTAAGCTACGCGCCCAACGGCTAGAAGACGGATCCGTTTCCACTCCTTCGCACCTATTCTCCTCCTCACCTCCACTCCCGCCCCTTACACTCTCTATACCCCACGACCGAAAATTCTACGGCAAGGACAAAGTATAATCATGTAGGTGGACCAAGCCAATGGCCCTTCTCTCATTAAAGCCTCTGATGCGATAAAGCGGCCCTACCTTCTCCCGCGAGGTGGAGGGGCCGTAAACAGTGCGATGAACAAATGCTAGGTTTATGACATCTGTACGGAGGCCGTGGATCGCAAACTGCTTAACTGGCTATCGAAACCACAACATAAGACAAAATACTCTCTTTCTTATTCCTCATCCTCCTCCTACTCCTCCTCGTCCTCTTCCCCGCCACCCTACCCTATAGGCTGCTAGAGCGAGTCCGTTCACTCGGAATGATATCTTGGGGAGGAGGACTGTCCTGTCTGCCACGGGACATAAACGATTACATTATGAGCCTCCGTCTGCCTCTTCGGCAGTTAAATTCGTCACCATTATCAGCGTCTACGCTCCTTGATGAACAGCCTTGACGCCGCAAGGGACAACTTCTATGAGAACCTGCACACCCTCCAGGTATCTGTGTGCCGCATAGCATCAACGATCTCCTGTTGAGCCTCCACCTCCCGCTCTGTATAGGCAAACTCGCCAGCATCATCAGCGGCTACGGTCTGCCGATGACCAGTCTCGACGCTGCAAGGGACACTTTCTACGAGGACCTGCACACACTCCTGGCGACCGTGTTGTAGGCGGAAAAATTCATTGTTCTTGGTGACTTCAACGCCTGCGTCAGCAGATACCCTGGTGTCTGGAAAGAAGTACTGGGTGCCGCTCCTTCTACGAACCTGCGCAGAACACAGACTCATCCTGCAAAATGCCTTCCTCCGCCCGCCGATGCGAAAGAAGGCCACCTGGATGTATCCTCGGTCGCGTCAGTGGCACCTGCTGGACTATGTCCTTGTCTGGAGGCGAGACCAGCGGGAGGTGCTGGTGACAAAGGCGATTCCGTGTGCCCACGGGCGGACCGATCATCACCTCATCCTCTCCAACATGAGGATTTGCCTAATGCCACGCAGGAGACCTCAGGGTAAGCGACTTTCGAGTAAACTAAATACTGCGTTATTGTCCTTGCCTGCTCACTTTCTCACCAACAAGCATCAACCCCTCCAGTGATGTGGACTCCAACTATAATAGTCCTCATCGCGCCCGAACCTCCACCTCAAAAATTGGACTGGTCGGTTATTTGCCAATCCATCGCGGAGAGACTGGCAAACCGGTGCCTGGAGCACCAACCAACACAGGACGCATCCGTTTCAGTTGCCCTCACTGCACCTGCACATTGCCTCACTGCATGGGTCTATTCGGCCACATGCGTATCCACGAGAGCTAAATTAACAACAGTCTCTACGCAATTAGTATCTACTGCAAATCCACCATGCCTAGCTCAACCTGCAGCAGCCACCCCAGTCCCCCTTTTCTCCGACTCCGTTTTGTCGGTCGATGGCCATGACAATCGCTGACAGGCCGTTGAACACGACCACACCCACCGGCGAGAACTAGGGCCCCTCCTGTCCAGTTTCATGGACTCCCGGCGGCCCTCACAAACTAATATCACCTCATGCGCCTCGGAAGACCTGGCTTGATATCCATGGGCTCCTGTGATTATGAGTCCCTCTAATGCGTCCCATCTCATGACCAGCACTCAGCCGGTCATCCCCACCTACTGACACAGACTTTACCCCCACGCAAACTACACACAGCTAGTGACGCTCTCTGTGAACGGACGCTTATCTCTGTTGCAAGCAAACAGCCAACTTACGGCAACCTGCCCTGTGTACAGAAGAAACTAGTCCTCACAGCTCCCTGACTTCTGAAATTAGACGAAACGAAAGTATTGTGCGTAGTTTAGTTTGATCTCACATCTTTGACCGCCACAAACTCATACCCGGCTGTCCAGCGCGACCACCACCATAAGCAGCTCCACCACGGCCAGCAACACTGACATCGACGACTTTTTCTGTTCACACTGTCCCCGTACATTCACCTCACACATCGGCCTGGTTGGCCAATTGCGAATCTGTCGCACAGAAACTGGCGAACTTGTGTCTGGACCACCCACATACACTAGCCGCATCCACCTCAACTGCCCTCACTGCACCCGCAAATTCACCCGCCGCAGAAGCCTATTAGGTCACATGTATATTCACGAAAACCTGCCGTAGATAACCGCCGGCTAAAGCACACCACCAAATTTTCCTCCACCTACACCACTCAAAATTATCATCCACCAAAAGCATCCAGCTGCCACCTCCCACGCAAGTGGGCAGTGTGCGTCTCGGTTCCGATGTTTTAGTCAGATTGAATGGCGGGAATCAGGCGCATCTGTCAATCAATTATTTGATATAGCGTCTGTAGCGGTCCAACTCCGGAGCGCGAAAATTTAAAGAAAGACATGAAGCCATTCTCGAAAATGACGGATTTTCTATTAAACCGGCTCCGGAGAGTTTACATTCAATCAGCAAGCCCAATAGATTTCAATCATCAGGAACGGTGAATCGCGAGTGATGTTAGCAGTCACACGGATTTTTAGAGCAACTGCTGGATTTGCCAACTACTTGAGGTCCTATACCCTACCGTTACCCCACAGTCTGCAACAAAAAAATCTCGTTCTGTTAAGGAAATCTTCTAATTAAAATCCTACATGCTCATTCAAAAAGAATGGATGCACTAAACCAAACCATGCTGAGGATCGTCTCAGTTTTCTCCGTTGTTAAAGTGCTCTGCTGTTCGCAATTCCCTTTACTTGTTCAGTCTCTCACGGCCCTCTCCAGTTCAAGTCTTCGTGATAAAACTACCAATCAGTCTTTCTGTATTCGACGTACGTCAGCTCTGTATCTGGTGTTCTGCTGATCATACTGGGGAGTTCTCAGTCATGCTCTAAAATTGACGTTCTCTCGGATTATAGTGAAGGGCCTCGCGTGCGAGCTGGAAGTTGGGCTCTACATGGATGATATATTCGAGATTACACATGAACAAGCCGATGTTTCGCTCGTATTGGATGCTGCGAATCAGACGAATCTGCCAATCAAGTTTGCGCTGGAAGGCGGACTGCCCAGGTTACTCCACATTCTAGACGCGGTTTTAATGTACAGGACCTGGCGGCAGTATTTGACATAGCGTCCGTAGCGGTCCAACTGCAGAGGCGTGTTGCAACGTTGAGGCGCTAGCGACTACCTGTGCGTGCGTAACAATTGCAGCCTGGTTCTCGGCTGTCCAAACTGGCCAATCATCTTCGAGGCCGGCTCAGACATGACCTCGAACTGCACGGCTGCCCCGCTGCCTCACGTTGGGCAGACGCCGTTCTTCCGGCGCCGAGAGTTCCCTCGCCTGCCTGCCTGCCTACGGATCTGATGAAATGGCCGAAATTGTGAAATGCGTTTTCGATTAGGAAGGATTACTTGGGTGGGGTTGTAATGTTGCCTATCAAGCAACAAACTCCCATCGTATTTCGGATTCGCTGGGATGTCGGCCTTTGAATGCACTTGATTACGACCTTCTATAACAACCACACTCAGTAAAAATTACTGCTTAAGTAGCATGTATTTTTCACATTGATTTTTGATGATCTTATAAATTCAAGTAGTTTGTTTGTGGAATACACGCACAAAAATATGCTTTCGCTTACTTTTTTAGTTGAAAATAACATTGTCTTTACATTGTGTGCGCAAAGAAAACGTGTATTTAGGGCCGATAAAGTTTCTTGTTATGATATTTTTAAGACCGTGCGATGTCCATACATACCGTGTCACACATCTCCGTTCACCAATGTTCCGCGTGAAATGCACAACATAGTCTACATTAATAATAAAATTTTATGAAATCAACACGGTATCTTCTTAAAGGCATAAAGATATATATGATTCTTTTTGCGCGGAATGCATTCATCTTGTAGAATGGAATCGCTAAATGATAATGTAGCCATTGATCTGGACTAATATTATTGAGGTATTAAGAAACTTTTTAAGAACCCAAATATACGTTTCCTTTGGACATACAAGGTAAAGACAGTGTTATTTTCTACCAAACACGCACAAGAAGGCATATTTTTATGTGTGTTTACCACAAACGACTATTTGAATTCATAAGACCATCAAAAATCAATGTGAAAAATGCATGCTACATAAGCAGTCCTTTTTAGTGAGTCAAAATGTAGTGTACTCAAAAGCCGACACCCAAACGCGTCTGAAATACTATGGGAGTATTGCCGATACAAGCGAAATTGCGAGTTCCAGGAACTAGTTGATCAGAAGAAGAAGCGATCGCTGCAACAAGGGCTTTATTCGCCTGACGATTCGGATTCTCACTTGAGTCCATCATCAGAGACAGTGACAGAAAAGGGTGACTCGTGCACAGGAGGCTGCAGTATTTATACGATGCAGTCGAGGCTTTCGAACACACTTCTTTCCGGCTGCATCTAAAATCCATACTACGTAAAGAATGTCTACTTATGTAGCATGCATTTTCTCGTCGATTTTCAATGCCCTTGACATATCAATTTTATTTCATGGAAAACACGCATAAAATATTTATTCTTTTGCTTATTCAGTAGACAGTTACGTCTTCTTTCAATTTTACACTCGAAAGAAGGGTATAATTCGGTTTTAAAGAAGTTCTAAATTGTGAGATTTTTTAATACCATGAAATGGCTCTTCATAAAACGTCCTGTGTCTGTATTTACCAACGTAGGTTGTCAAGTTAAGAATGTGAGTCTACTCCGCTGTTTAACTTTATGAAACCCATATGGTCTTCTCCTAAAACCGTAGAGAAATGAATGGTTTTCCCTACGCGGAAATTATACGGCTTGTAGTTTTAGAACCCTGAATGCGCGAGTAACGGCAGGTGCGGTTCAAAATTATTGGGGAATTGGAAAAGTTCTATAAAACCAAATTATACCCTTACTTCGAATGTAAAATTGAAAGACAGAAGACGTGATTGTCTACTGAATGAGCAAAAGAATGTATATTTTTATGCATGGTTTCCATGAAATATAATTGAATCTTTAAGGCCATCGAAAATCAATGAAAAAATACATGCTAATAAGGTAGTCATTTTTACGGAGTATGGTTCTTAGATGCAGCTGGAAAGAAGTTTGTTCGAAAGCCGGTGTCCGGAAGTAAATGAATTATTATTGAATTATGCTGTACGATATTTAGCTTTACAACCCTACTTCATTAATCTTTTCGAATAGAAAACTTCTTTCGGAATTTCTCTTGAGATCTCGCGAGTTAGCCCACTTACTGTAAGTCCACCAATCCATCACTCCACACAAACACACACAATTGTGCAGACTGCGTCGACTGATTTTGGACGTCAGTCAGCAGCCTCCCAAGCCATGGCGATCGGCACACCGCGATAGACTCAAACTTGTATCACACATGCAGCAAAGAAGCAGCATGGAGACGGAGCCGAGACGCATACTCCGCACTTGCGTGGGAGGTGGCAGTTGAATGCTTGTGGTGGATGATAGGGTTGCGTGATGTAGGTGAACGAAGATGTGATGGTGAATTTGTTAGCACGCGGTTGTCTTCCGCAGGTTTTCGTGAATCTACATGTGATCTAATAGGCTTCTGCGGCGGGTGAATTTGAGGGTGCATTGAGGGCAGTTAAGGCCGATGCAGCGAGTGCATGTGGGTGGTGCAGGCACTAGTTCGCCAGTTTCTGTGCGACAGATTCGCAATTGGCCGACCAGGCCGATGTGACTGAGGTGAATGTACGGGGACAGTTTGAACAGAAAAAGTCGTCGGTGTCAGTGTTGTTTGGCCGTGGTGGGGCTGCCGATGGTGGACGCACTGGGCGACGGGATGCGTGATGGGTTAGGGACGAGGCAGAGTTGGACGAGGAGACAGCAGTGGGTGTAGTCCAGGTTCTACAGTTGGTACGAAGATGTCCTACAAGCCCGACTGCTGCCCGGAACGTCAGCTGGCAGCGTGGGCAGGTCGGGGCTGCTTGAGTGTTGGGTGCGAGGTTGTATT